TCCCTTCGGGAGCCCCCGTCTTTTTTTCAAAAAAACAACCGGTGGAAGTTTTCTAGTCGGGGGGTGGGGCGTCCCCCCCCCCCCCCCCCCCCCTCCCCATTATAGACACATAGCAACGGAGAAAGAGAACATTACAGACATACCCCCATTACAGACACCCACACACCCACACCCACACCCTCAACGATTGAATAATTATTTTAATCAGTCATAACCGGTTTCGACCTTGCTTAACCCTTTGAGTACGAATGACGCGAATTCACGTTCTGATATTTTGGAACTTGAATAAATTTTAAAAACAAGGTCTGTTTATTATTTAATGATATGAATTGCAAGGGGATTTGTGTTTAGAATATTCATGCGTTAAGATTGTCTATAATTACTGATAGTTATTGTTTGTCTCTTAATTCTTTCAGTACAAGATTATTTTTATATAGCCAATAGGACGAGGGAGAAGTGATAGACAAATGAATTCTATAAAAGCTTTTTTATTCGATACCTCAATATATTACACCAAACGAAAGAGCTTGATGAGTTGAACACCTTTTGTGACGGAAGTTGGACTTTTAAATAAAATCAAAAAATATTCTGGATGTGGCAACGACTAAAATGACTGAAATTTTACAAGTTAACTTACTCAGAACTCTTCATGGTTTCATTTAAAAGATCAAGTTTCACCACAAAAAGTGCTCAACTTACCAAGTCCTTTCGTTTGGTATTATATAGTTGCAGTTTCGAATCAAAAAATTTTTACAGGGTCGTTGGCCTATCAGCCGTTCTTCGTCCCTTTGACCATATAAAAATAATCCCGTACTCAAAGGATTCAGGGTCTGATTAGATGGCTGATTGAAATAATAAATATATCTTGAAAGTAATTACTATTACTTATTCATATTCATGTATGAATTGAGTAATAGAACACTTATATTCAACTAGATTTACTTCTAATTTTGGATAAAAATGTACATGTTATGCATGTCCAAATATAAAAGTCATCTGATTTCAACCCTTAAGCAAGGTCGAAACCGGTCATGACTGATTAAAATAGAATTTCTCATGAAAATAATCTGTATACATATACATAGACTGACTCAGTTTTTTATGCTGATTTCAAATATGTCTTTAGTTTTGAGTGAAACTCGATTTTTTCCGATGAGAATCTATTGAAATGTGGTAGAAAATGCAAAAATAAGGGATTCCAAGAAAATTTAGATCGGCTTGTTTCACAAAGTATACTTCTAAGGAAATTGAAAAATATCTCATTTTGTAGGCCTTCTCTCGAGCTATCAGAATCAACTAAAAACCCATGTTGTTTTTTTCCTTTCTCAAGATATTGAGAAAACAGTAAATAGAAGTGATAAGAGAACTATGATTTCATGATGGTTTCAAACGGGTTTTACACTGTAACTCAGCAAAACTTGAACCGTTTGGGCTGAAATTTTTACCACAAATAGACTATGAGATGCGTAGTTGTTTGAGATAATTTTTTCTTCGAAACATCTCTTTCAAGTAAAAATTTGTATGTCCGAGTATTTTGTGTGTGTTTTATATTTATAGTACAAAAGTGAATAACAGTATTCGAGGTAACAGTTCATCAAAACTGTTTGAAAATAGTTTTATTATGTTACCAAACGATTCTCCGCGAAATCCTGCATTGCATAATCTAGGAGCAAAGTAAATTTATCTGAGACCCAAAAATGCCTCTTATGCGCCTCCATTCTTTATGACGGACGCAATGATAATGATGATTTTCTAAAGACTTATTTCGATGTCTTGCTGATAAAAATTTACAAGAAGATGTTCAAGGACATTTAAATGTTTTTTTCGAAGGCATTCGAAAAGATGAAGAGTATGATTTACTTAGTGACAAAACATTTCAATCTCTTCTTTGTAAATTATTAATTATTGGACAAGGTATGGATGATTATGCTAAACAATTTTTATTAAATATTCGATCAGCTAGAATTTATTTGGTTATTCATAATATATCTAAATGAAAATTAATTGGAACATTTGCTGATTGATTTCAAATAACTATCTTCAATAATAAAAATCAAGATGATGAACTTGACGAGAGTTAAAGAGTTTTTTCTTTTTTTATTCTTAATAAAACTTTATCGGTGATAAATTTCAATATCAGTTTAATCTAAAAAGACTATTTTATCACGACCAGTAAGTGTTGCATTATATCCGTTATAGCGATCGATTTGATTGATTACTTGAGCATTTTCATCAAGTAATATAGTTTGACATTTTTCTACTAACCATTGATTAGAAGAATTCAGTAATGGTGTTATCATACCTGAAATTTTCAAATATAAATGAGATAATTTCTAAAAGAACAATCACTTACAATAGCAAGAATCCATCTGATGAGATATCTTAAATGATGGTCCAGAATGTAAATGTTCCATATTATCTATTGAAAAGAGATCAACACGACATTGAATATCAATTTGTTTGATTGATAATGCTACTAGAAAGCAATAAAACAAAACAAAGCTGCCTTTGTTATTTCATTTAACATTTGTTCAATCGTTACAAATCTGTCTTTGTTCATCCATACGAATACATCCAATAGTTTGATCATCTTTATCATACATAAGATCATTCTTTGTCCATTCTCTTTTTTTCTTAAATGGTTTTTTTAAATATCTTTCATAAATAATCATATTAGGTTTATTGATAATATATAGATTGGTTGAATTACAAGCTAAACTACATAATGTTCGAGTAGATTTGAAATTTTCATACGGTTTTGACAGATGATTGCTTAATGGAGAAAACTCATAAAGATGATATTCCGTAGAAACAAGAAAAACTTGTTTTGATTGAAACCAACTGATGTCAGAAACAAAATAATCAATCGGAGTTTTGTTTAGACGTTGATTATCTTCGATGAAAATAAGAGAAAAACATGCTTTTGATTGACAGATGAGTAAACAATAATTATGATGAAATGGTGAACCTGCTATTGCACCTGAGCAATCATTTAGAGCATGTTTATAAAGTGGTGACGATAAGGAATAATTATTTATTAAAGCTTTTGGTTGATCTATTTTTAATTGACTATAAAAAACAAAAATAGATGTTCTTTAAACATATTGTTAAGTATTTTACCCATCATCAGTTATTTGAATAAATTAATTGATCTCTTGAATAGTTTTTTAAATTTGTTCAAATCGTTGTTCTAATGATTCTTCATGTTTTATCAGAATGTTATTTGGTATTCAAAGAAGTTTTGTTAATGATTCTTCGGTAATAGATTAATCAATATTTAATTGTTTAATTGCATTTGATAATTGATTATACATATGTTTATGTTTCATATCAGTTTCATTTTTACATTTATCTGATCATTAATCGATTTTTTCTTGGAAACTCTTCTTTATTCAATGATAGGTTAAAGTATGTAATATCTGACGTAAACCATTTATTGGATTATTAAGCATATGAGCTCGTGTTTGAATTTTTTGTTGATATATTTGATGATGTTCTGAACATATTCCTGGATTATAATGTAAACAAACAAGAATAGTTCATCGATGACATTGAATTTTATATCCTGAAGAATTTTTCTCACTTCAACAACCTATAATGAAAGTGAATCCACCCCGAACAAAAAACTGCTGAGAAATTAATATCTGTTGTTATTGTTTTATTTCAATTATTGGATTTCTGAAAAATTAAAAGTAGTTTGAGAAAATGTATTATTTTAATCTAGCAGAAATTGCACTAACAGCTTCGTTTTCTTTGCAGAACATATGCCACAAATACAACTTCATACCCTTCAGAGAGAGTCCGTGAGGGGAGCCAGGAAAATAGGCACTGGTCAAAATTTAGATTTTTTGATTTTTTATATACGTTTGAAAGATCATAGTCTGAAACCATAAAATCCAAATTTTTAGCTCATTTGGATGTATTATAGAAAAGTTAGTCAATACCAACTTTGGAGCGCCAGAGATTTTCTATCAGAAAATACTTGAAAATTATTCGATAAAGTTTTGTTAAGAGTATTCTTTGTTAGATTAGAGATTTTTATGTTCATTTATACCAAACGGTAGAGCTTTCAAAACTGTAGAAAGTGAGATATTACAATAGTAAAATATAATCTTTTTACATGGTTTTTCTAGTTCATTATCTGTGAGATGTGTCACATTTTAGTAGCCTACCCAAGCAGTCAGAAAAGTTAAATTGACGCGTTATAACGACCGTTTTGCGTTTTATCTTGTAACGCATTTTACACAGTCAAAAATGTCCGAATTTTGGCGTTTTAACGATCGCACTTTTTTCAGCTTTCACATCGTTAAAATGGTAGAAGAGACAAACGATTAAAACACATTTTCAAGATCAACGGTTTAAAACGCGTAAAATCGGACATTTTTGACTGTGTACAACGCATTTAAACTAGGGAAGAATAGATATAACCCACATACCTTAATATTACAAACAACATTAAAATACAGTATTTACTAATAAATAAGAGATACCAGGTAACATCGGTTCGAAGAAAGTCGGAAGTTAAAGAGCATATAACAGTAGTGTAGTTT